CTTCATGAATATATCGGCGACAATAGGAGATACAGGTGAGCCCATCGCCACTCCATCTACTTGCTTGTAGTATTCCTCCTTCCACAATAGGAAGCCAGATGTAAGGCAGTGTCTGAGTAATACTGCATATTCTATGGGCATGTTGTTTTCCTCTAGCCTTCTAGTAACAATCAATATGCAGTCATCAACAGGTAAGCATGTGAACAGCGACTGCACATCAAAACTGACCATAGTTTCATTGTTTGCCAGATGTAGGTCTTTAATCTCTTTGTTAAAGTGGTAGGAATCTTTTGTGTGTACTGTTGTATGTCCCTTGAGCGGTGAGAGTATATTCGCTAAGTGTTTAGCCAATCTGGAAGTTGGTGTATCGATTTGGCTCACTATGGGACGTAGTAGAGCATTGGGCTTGTGGATTTTTGGTAACCTATACAACTTTGCTGGCTTAGCACACGTAGGTATTATAGTTTTTACGTCTAGATTTAATTTTTCGGAGTGTTTCTTTATAAGATCATTAGTTGCTTTAAGTGTGTTATTAGTAGCGTCATTTTTAACCTTTTTATAAGTACTCGTATCTGACAAAAGTTCTTGTATTTTAGAATTATAATGCGACGTATCCATGGCTACCGTGGCATTACCCTTATCTGCGGGGTAATCGTGAGTTTCGGTTTATTGCGTAGGTTATTCAATGGTTTAAATTCGTCTTTAGGTAGATTCGGCTTAGGCATTGAAATTCGATGTAACATAGACGAAATGTCTTGACGTATCGCTTCCAAATCTTCCTTTCGCATATTGTTTTTAAATAAACAGTCCTCGACACTACAGATAATTTCCTCGTATGGCAATTTTTCGGTTTCGGTAGCAAAATTAAGGCCTTTCGATAATACTCTAATTGTTGCATCATCCAGAGTTTGTTTTGACAGATTATAGACCGCGCTTAATCTATGATCCGTGTTCGTAGTCAACGTTTGCATTTCGTTCTCACGTTGACACAGATGCTTGACATTTAATTTGGTCGTTAATTTTTGATATTTTATTATATGTTTGTTTTTGCATTCGTTATATTTATTAATTTTTCGTTTATTTAACGTTCGGTCCTGCGCCTACGTCACAGTGAACGAGTGAAGCCAGCCACAGTCGAGGGAGTGCCTGCTGTACTGCCATATGTCAGAGGTGTCACTGACAAGATTGGCTACATCTTGAAACGTGCTTCTATTAAAACATATTTCAAGCCGCCGAAGAAGATTCGTCAGTTTTTACCATCAGTCAAGTGTAATATTCCTCCGCAAGATGCAGGAGTGTACAAGCTTGATTGTGAATGTGGTCTTTCTTATATAGGACAAACTAAAAGATCCATAAAAATCCGCGTTAAAGAACACATAGTTGATGTGAAGAATCGACGCTCCGGGAAGTCTGCAGTCTGTGAACACGTACAGGATCGCCCCCGTCCCTACATTAGATTTGATAGACCACAAAACCTCGCTAAAGAACACCGATTTCTTCCAAGAATGATTCGCGAGGCTACTGAAATCAAAAAACATCCTAATTTCAATAGAGAAGATGGCTGGGTGCTACCATCTCCTTGGGATCCCATAATTAATAAAATAAATCCCAACCCAAGCATACAACTGCAAAACTTCATGATACTGTAAGTTCATACTGCGTAGATCAGAACAAAAATTAATAATTTTTAATCTGGAGGTAGCCGTGGTCAACTATCACATTGGGACGTGATACACGTCAGTCCCCCTCGTGACCATGGGTGCTGTAAAGTGCTCAAAACGTCGGGAATATAAAATAAGTTATTTATTATACGCGATAAAATCCGTAAAATTAGATTTATTTAAATCAATAGAGAGAATTTATCACAAACTTTAATTTCAATAGAGTTTTAATTTCAATAGAGAGTATTTATCACAAAGATTAGTTATATCAGAACGTAGCTTATTACTATTTCCCATTTTACTCGTTACTTATAGTTATTAATAATCTCAGAGCAGTTGAACTGCAAACTTCTTTAGAAAGTTTTCAGATCTTATATACAGATATTAAGAAAGTTTCAACCTGTTTGCAAGCATCTATAACGAAGATAATGATTATTATAGAAGGGAAAACTAGGAAAGTATTTCATTTAAAAAGAAATTTAATTTAGTAATATTTTTTTATTTCTTACACTGGGATGCCCTTCTGTATTGTTCAAGAATTTGGTAAATTTAATTCCACATAAACATATATTCAGACACGGACCTATTTTTTGTAGGCCAATGAAACAATAGTTCTATGCGGGATTAAAACGCGCGACCCGCAGCATTGCAGTCAAATGTTGCTGCGCTATTAAGTCATCAAAGTGATCAAATAATATATTAAGTAGCCAATCAGTATAATGCTATACTGATTGGTGCTACGTTAAACACTTTTAAATAGCGTTCCAAATGATATTTATGTCATTTTATTTAATAATTTTGACACGGGACCTGTGTAAGCCAAATTCAATTATATATAACCTAAAAGATAAAAGTTAAATTCTTTTTTATTTATAGGATAAGAGCGACAAACGAGCACACAGTCCACATGATGGTAAGTGGATGTGAGGTACATAGACATCTTCATTCATCCTCGATTGAAAATCAATGTATTTGCGTTGTCACCACTGAGGACTAACATGGAATGCCTAATTTTCAGTATAAAGGGTCTTTATCTTTATCATATACACCAGCTATAAGGTGCAATATAACGCTGGTTTTCTTTAAGAGAGTGGTCCTTCCTGGTTCGGAAAATACCTCTATTCTGGCACATAATAAATAATAGGTTCTGAAAAGAACCAGCGAGACTATATTTTGAAAAAAAAAAAGAGTTTACTATCATATATTATGTTACACAATTAATTATACCAATTATATTAGAAATAGCTTAGTAGCGATCACATCATTGCCAGGGGTACCACCCACTTACCCACTTCTGTCGTCAAGTAGCAGTGCGTGCACTGTGGAATTCTGAGGAGTTATATAAAAGGAGCCACTGTAATTAGACGCTATTAGGCATTTCATCCTAGTCCTCAAAAGCGACAACGCAGGTTTCCATGAACTGCAAGACTCGTTAACTGTTAGGCGAACAGTAAATACGTAACTATTTAAATTCAATTTTATATAAAAGTGAATTTGAAAATGAAAAATATAAATTCTTAGGTTTATATTAACTTGAAAAATCATTCTAGCTTGCAATAAGTACTCTTCAGAAATATCCAGCGCCTTATTACAATGTTTATTTTCCTTAGGAAAGCAAACAAGTATTGCATTACAAAGAAGTGAAGTAGCAATAAATCGAGAAGCTTAGCTTTTATTAAATTATAGGTGTTTTGTTTTGAAATAAAACTACAAATAGACTATTTGAATTCAATGGCTTTTTAAGCAAAGACATGTTAAAAGACACAAATGTAGAGTGCCAATATTTCTAACACAACGTTAAGTAAAAAAGTAAAGTTACAGCGTCTATAGGTATTTGCGTGTCACAGGATCCGCTCATTTTTAAAGGGTTGAGGAGCAATTGTTAAAAAAGGAACAAAAAAAGTAGTTGTGGTCCCATGTAAATTTGAAGAAAAAGTTGCATCCCTAAGGATAAAAAAAAGGCATGAAAATTTTTAGGTTCTACTCTTTAGAGGAAATTTTGCTTGGTAACTTGCACTTTTGATATTTCGTAGTGTACGCAAATGGATAAAATCATACTATAAAATATGTCATAGTGTGTACATTCACCCTGACTTCAGGAGCTATTAAGTGGAAATATTTGTTTTGTTTAATTTTTTAAATTCAGTTTTTACTTTTATTAAATGTTTATTTATGACGGCTCCGTGGCGCAGTGGCTTACCAATGAGTTGCTGCGCTGTGGGCCGCGAGTTTGAATCCCACACGGATCAAGTATTTGTATGCCTACAAATAATTGTCCCGGATCTTGATGTTTGTCCTTGTGCAATTTGTGGTTGTAAACTGCCTCCACGATACAGCAGAGAATCCTAGTGTGGGGGTAACGTTCTTTTTTAAGTTATAAGTTAAAATAAGTTAAATAGTTCTTTCAATTTTAATTCTGATTAAATTTGCTAAATTTTCAAGACAGTTTCAGTGTGAAACTAGCAATATAAGAATTAACATGATTCTTTGTTATCGTTTCGATGATCTCAGAATGAATGATACGAATTCGCGAACTAAATTAGAAACTTTCACAATGCATTAATATTTTAATTATAAACTTTGATAATGTTAAAATAAATCATAAAGAGTTAAAAACAGTTGTACTGCAAAAATTTTCACAGGCAAATGCTAGATAAAAAGTAAATCCTCAAACTAAATTCACTTTTTTTTACTATTTCTATATTATTGGAAGTAAAGACTAGAAATGAGTAGGGGGATAACTCAACCTTTAGGCCTATTCAATTTGAATAGCCTATCACGTAGAGGATGTCATGGGGGTCATGGTTGAATAGGGGCAAAAAGTTCTCATTGCACTCTTAGAGGGTCAAAATAGCCAAATACCAAAAAAAAATTAAAATTCTTATTACGGCTATAACTCCTCCGCCTTCGGAGGTTCTTACACAGTATTTACTTGCCGCATCTCACTTGATTATAATAACTTACAACCGTGTAGTAGTGGTGTAAAAATAAACATTACCCCTTATCGTTACGTGTGAATTACGTTAACTGCAGCCGAAGGACCCAAAAAAAAACCGAAACTAGTTTAAAATACTTTATTATAATATAAAAATTACAATATAATTACTATAACTAAAATATAAGTGAATCAGATCGATGCTAGATCTAGAATGAATTTTAATTATTACAGTAAAAATAAGGTAAAGGTATATTGCAGAGCTCCGGTTGCATTCGTTGACATCAATGCTCACGTTCTGCTGAGTTGCGCCTCGTGCCGCTGCAATGTATCGGGGTCGCTGTTGTGTAGGCTCTTTACCTATGAGGCTATGTTATATAACTCCTCCACCCTTAGATCAGCAACTATTTTAGAAACTTGAGAGAAAAAGTTGCTGGTAATGCCTTTTTGACTTCAGATTCTTCGGGCATTTCATAGCTATGTTGGGTGTTATTCTGGATCTGTTCTTGCTTCTTAGTCTTGTAGTAATAACGAACTGAGATTATGATAGCGAATATTGCAATGCTTGATAACACGGCGTAAAAGGGAATAGTGGTGTGATATAAAGTTGAGAGATCCATCTCTCTCAGATGAAGTGGTGGTTGCATCATGAGTTGGTCCTGGGCTGCGTGGAGTCCTTTCAGGTTAATTGTATTAAGACTGATTCGTGGTACTACTGGGTTGCCTTTTGCGTTTATATCCATTGGTATTTTCATTAGTTTCAGTGGATGGCCTTCTACTTGATCGTTAATATTGGTGATGGTGAATTCTTGTGTTCGCAGGAAGCAATTAATTGGTATTGTAGCTAAGTAACTACCCTGTAATGAAGTAATATCTTCACGCCCGCATACTGTATGGACTTTAGTTGGTTGAGGGAAAGAGATGGTGTAGTGCTTGTCGTCAAGACGTTCCATGGCTTCTTTTGATAGTGCAATGTCGGTTATCTTACAGGATTTTGCTATAGACTGATTGATGATGAGGTTCTGGATACAGTCGGATTGTGTTCGAATTTGGGTGTTCGTTTCCTTTTCGCATAGGTACCGATTACTCAACTTCGGACATTCTGTCTCCATGTACACGAATTTTTCTCTATTTGTTGCTATTAAAGGATAGGGTGGAATAATAGATTGGTGGTTTTTGTTAGGTACAATGGATAAGCGGAATAGGTCGAAGGTGTCTTTGGAAATAACAGGGAATTTTAGAACAATTACTATTTGATTTTCTGTAAAATAATAACCTGACTTAATGATATCGTAATATTCTCTAGTCTCTAAATTTAATACATGTTCCTTATCATAAATTTGTCTTAATCTTACTAACATAGACTTAATTACCTTAACACTTAACGTAGAATGGTGGGTGCTCGATGCACGACTAAATGCTAATATATTTTCTATCCTATTAAGCTCATTGAGCATATCATCAATATTTTCTGTTAAAATTGTTAGTAGTTGGGCAAACTTAGCATACTTGATGAGGCTACTGTCTTTATAAGCGGCTCTATCTAGTAATTGGATAAGCGTTGAGTTAATTTTGTTTTCGTTTTCAATTATCTGGGATATCACACTATTATGTTGTAACATCCACTCTTTACTAATGCTAATGTGACTATTGAATTCAGATTCGATCCTATCTTGGTTATCCTTTAAAACTTTTATGGCATTATTATATTTCGCGGCATCTAAATAATCTAGATTACCGGTTACGCTTTTGATCACTGAGCCTAATCCGTCTACTAGACCTCTCTTAGTGCGACTAGGCTCTAAGCTATTTAGTTGTAATAATACTTTGTCTAGTTTGCTAGAAAGATAGTCCATTTGTAATTCGTACAGTAAGTTGGTGTCATTATCAAGTCTGTTCTTGTAGTTCTGTAGCTGTACCTGCAATAAGGTTACTTTGTCTCTGATGTCGTCAAGTTTTACATATTGAAGAAATGTATGATAGTGAGTTATGAGAGTCGTTGGTCCAAGTCTAAATGGTAGTAGGCCTGGTCCGTCTTCAAGATATTCAAGTTTTATCTCCTGGGCTTCGATCGTCAGCACGGTCAGTACAGTCAGTAATTTTAGAGTTCTGTAACAAATCGGCAGTTTTAGGTACACGTTTAAGTCTAGACTTCCCTATCGGGCCGCGTTTCCTAGACGTGTAAATGTGTATTGGTAAGTCAGCTAGAACATGATCATGGGTGTAACGTGGGGCTAATTTTTGTCGGCTAGCTAGGGGGTTGGAAACGAAAACTTGTTGGTTTGGTTGGTATTCAACCTCTGGTTCCCGTGATTTATTCCGATTATTTATTAATGCTGAGCGTTCGGAGAAAGAATGTTCGTTAATTATTTCATACACTGTTTTCATTGGATCTCGGTGTGTTAGTAGGTATTGCTGCAGTAAATGTTTTGTCAAGTCGATGTCGATTGGGTCTCTTGGGTTGAAATGTCCATTGACAATATCGTAAGGCCTACATTTAGTGAAACTATGTACAGAACTATTGTATCCTAGGATAGCATAGGGCATTAGATTTACTACATGCTCATCTTTCTTTTGTAGTTTTAGGATTCGCAGATGTTCCTCAACTCAGTAAATAGCTGGTTCGTAAATTCGGTCCCATTGTCGGTGACAATAGAAAGAGGAAGACCATGATGCGTACAGAAGGTAAGTAGGCTTTGTAAAATGCTCAATGCTGTTCCGTCTCTTAAATGATACGCTTGAGCATATTTGGAGAATACGTCTATAAATGTGAGATACTTTTCATTATGTACTGTGAACATGTCCATATGGATAATCTCGAAAGGTTTGGTAGCGGGGGGAACGATATTGAATTGAGGTTTTAGAGGTTTCCTATCGTACTTAGCCTGACCACATATGGTACATTCATTAATATATTTCGTAATGTTTTCCCTCATTTTGGGCCAATAGTATCGTTTGGAAAGGGCCAGGAAACTCTCGTTGATACCGCGATGGTTAGTTTTACCTTCGTGGTAGTTCTTTATTATTTCTTGTTGTTGCAAATATTCTTTTATATTTTCGACCTCAACTTTAGTTAATACTAGATTCATAGACGAGCTTCTGAATTTATCTTGTAAGATTGGAATGACGTCATACATGCAAAGAGGGGGGTTAATTAATAATCCGGTTTTGACTTTTGAGTCAACGTATTCTTTTATGGCGTTGACAAGGTCTACTTCCATTTCCGGTTGTCTTATCTGTACGGCTGTTCGAGTATGTGTATCAAAAGGTTTGGTCACTATTGGTCGTCTTTTTATGTCGCCTACAATTGTTAATATTAGTTGTCTGTGGAATTTATTAAGAGGTTCGTCGGTAATAGGAATTTCAAGGATCGGATTTTCTTGGCTTGTGTGGGCCGTTTGAGTAGTCGAGCCAGTGCTAGGGGCTGTTTTTACTGATGGGTTGGCTAACATAGAACACGATTCTTCGTTATGTATTTTCACCCGGGAAAGCGCATCGGCATTGGTGTTATTTTTTCCTTTTTTATATATGACAGAAAAATCGTATTCGCTTAGTTTTAATTTCCATCTAGTAAGTCGTGAGTTTGGTTCCTTAAGATTCATTACCCACTGAAGGGGTTTATGATCAGTTAAGATTTTAAAAGTACGGCCAAATAGGTAGGGTCTAAAGTACTTGGTTGCCCACACGATGGAAAGGAGTTCTTTCTCTATAGTGCTGTAGTTCACTTCGCTCTCATTTAGAGTTCTAGAAGCGTAACATACGGGTTTGTCTGATCCTATGGGTCCCTGAGATAGGATGGCTCCTATCGCTACATTGGATGCGTCAGTGGTCAGGATGAATTCTTTGTTGAAGTCAGGATATTGAAGGATTGGGTCGTTAGTCAAGAGAGTCTTGCACTTTTTGAAGCAGTTAATATAGTCTGTGTCAAGAGTTATTTTTCGTCCCTTTTTTAGACATTGTGTCAGAGGTTTAGTAATTCGAGCAAAGTCTGGGATGAACTTCCGATCATAACCTATAAGGCCTAAAAACTGTTTAATCTCTTTTGCGGTTTTAGGTAATGGATACTTTTCTATGGCTGATATTTTACTAGGGTTTGGCTTAATGCCGTCTTTACAGATTATATGTCCTAAATAAGCGGTTTCCAATTTAAGAAAATCGGATTTATCCATTTGTATTTTAAAGTTGGATTCCCGTAGTTTCTGAAATACTTTCTCAAGATTTACCATGTGTTCTTGCAAGGAAGTGCTGAACACAATAATATCGTCTAAGTACACGAGACAAACTGTATTTTGGAGGTCACGGAGCACGTTATCCATGACACGCTGAAACGTGGATGGCGAGTTCTTCAGGCCCATGGGCATCCGTAAGAACTCGAAATGCCCATGTTCAACGTTGAATGCTGTTTTCGGTATGTCACTAGGGTTCATTTCGACCTGGTAAAATCCACTGGCTAAATCCAAGGTTGTGAAATATTGGCAATTTCCTAACTTATCTAGTACATCCGATATATTCGGTATTGGGTATTTATCACTAATGGTTTTTTCATTTAGCTTCCTAAAGTCGACTACGAGTCGCCATTTAGTCTTGCCGGAAGCATCAACTTTTTTAGGAACTATCCAGATGGGAGAGCTCCATGCAGATTCTGACGGACGAATCATACCTTGCTCTAACATTTTACTGATTTGTTGTTTAACTTCGTCTCTATGAGCGTAAGGCTACCGATAGCTTTTAGTATATATCGGTATCTCATCAGTGGTCCGGATGCTATGCTTTATTTTATTAGTAAATGTGAGCTGTTCGCCTTCTATATAAAAGACGTCGGCGTATTTGGCACATAATCTTTCTAAATTAGCGCGTTCTTCGGCATTTAGATGGTCGGTGCGTAAACGTGATAATACTTCTTTGTAATGTGAGAGTGGTTGAACGTTGTGAGAGGACTCGATGTTATACGTCTCAGCACATATTGGACGATCTAGGGAGAAAATTATATCGTGCGGAGTCGGGTTAAATACCTCTATAATACCGCGGTTATTTGACACTAATGTTAGACATTCGTTTATCACGCAATTAGAGATGTATTGTTCGCTAACTAAGGCTTCTCCGTCATGGACATTAATAGGTACTTTTATTAATTTTGAAGATTGGGATGGTATCACGACCTCGTAAAAATTAACATTTCTAGAGTTATACATTAAGATGGGGTTGTAAGCTAATCGTGTTATAAGTAATCTATCCTTTAGATCTATTCTAGCTTCCCATTTCTCTAATAGGTCGAGACCAATAACGCCATCGAAGTAATCGTAAAATTTATAAATATATAATTTAATACTATCAGGTTCTTGCAATTCGGAAAAGCATGGAATAGTTATCGAATAATTATTCCTAGTTGTAGCATGCACATTCGTTACCTCGAAAGGATCATAATTTAAAGGTATATGTGAAAAATATTTTTGTATAGCTTCCGGATTAATGAAGGACTGCGAGCGAATGCTCCGGTATCGATTAGAAATTTTAACGGAGGGTTAGAAATACATGTGTATGGAAGCTGTCTCTGCGTATGTAAGTTAACTTCTATTTTGACTTTTTTGAAAAACGAGTCTTTTGAAAATCGTGAGGCGAACTGCTTGTAGTAGGTTGGCAGTCTATGTTATTTTGTTCGTTTATCTCAATTGCGTAATGGTATTGGTAATGCTGTGTGTCGTTATAGTCATAGGTCACAGTATTGGTATAGTCGTCATTATCATTATAGTCGTAATAGTCGTATTGGTGTTCAGGATAATAGTAACTATCGTAATCAGCACATTCGTTAAAATTCATTTCCCTACTTTTGAAGTAATTTGAAGGCGGCGGGTTCCGTATTTGCGCTAATCATGACCGGTCAGGCCTGTCGGAGGTATTGGTTTAGGTACGTAATGGCTAACCCCACTCATAGGCTTCGGACCTGAGTCATGGGGTGGATTCCTATTTGGTAATCTAAACGTATTACTATGGGGTTTATAATTAGGTGGCAAAGCGCGGAACATTTGTTGAGTTCTCGTAGGCATGTTATACTGTGGTGGCACGTTAGGCCTAAAACCTTGGTGCTGTGGTACATGTAAAGGTCGCTGTAAATTGGGCATTGGTATCGGTGCAGTAAAACTGAATGGTTTTTGCAAAGGTAAGGTCATGTAGCTAGGTTGGAGAGGCTTAGGTGCTTGAGGTTTCCTCTCGGCGAAAGGTTCACCGCGTTGTTGCAAGTACATAACATTCAGTTCTTCCTGTACAAACTCCAAGGCTTGTTCAACGGTATCAGGACGCATGCAACGTATTCGTGAGCCCAGTGGCTCCTTTAAACCGCGCACGAAAGCTTGCTTCGTTAGATTCTTATATAATACACGTTTGGCTTCTATTGTAGTAGGCAAGGTTTCATGAAGCGTAATATACGTCATGATAGTGCTGAACAGTGTCTGACATCGTGCATAAAATTCTTGGGGAGAGCTGTTCCCCTGAGTAGCTAATGAGAGGTCATTATAGAGCGCCGTTTCGTCTCTTTGGTCCGAAAAGTTATTGATTAAAGCTGTACGAATGCCATGCCAGCTTTCAGGAATACCATTTGAATTTAAAGTAGTCGCGGCGGGTCCAGTTATTTAATTTAATATACCGTTAAGCAAACATAAGTTCGATAGTTCACTGCCAGGTTCATTACTTAGATATGCAGCACATATTTGGTCACAAATTTTATAAACCCAGTTAGTACATTAGGATTACCGTCAAACTCTGGCACTGGGCGTAAAACTTTGAAAATAGTGTCAGGGTCGTGGGCCATTTTTGATTCCTCGGTAATTATATCTAACTCTAAATTACAACTTAAATCTCTATTATAGTCTAAACTTTCTCTACGTGGCTGCCTACGCGATGTAGGGTCACAGTGGGATGATTTCCTTGGATAGAAAATTTTGACAGGAAAGATTTACACTAGGAAAAGGAAAGCAACACTAGATAAAATTCTGGTGTACTTACATAAATTTCATCTCGGCTTTCTCGGGATCGATGTCTTGATGTATCCTCTTGGCTTGCAGTTGAACCGTAGTAGATTCGAATACTCGTTTGAAGCTTGAAAGCTACGATAGCCTAACTAACTTTTGAGTATCCTACCGACTGCGCCAATTACGTTAACTGCAGCCCAAGGACCCAAAAAAAACCGAAACTAGTTTAAAATACTTTATTATAATATAAAAATTACAATATAATTACTATAACTAAAATATAAGTGAATCAGATAGATGCTAGATCTAGAATGAATTTTAATTATTACAGTAAAAATAAGGTAAAGGTATATTGCAGAGCTCCGGTTGCATCCGTTGACGTCAATGCTTACGTTCTGCTGAGTTGCGCCTCGTGCCGCTGTAATGTATCGGGGTCGCTGCTGTGTAGGCTCTTTACCTAGAAGGCTATGTTATAACTTGTGTGTAGTAGAAGGTGACAGAGACAAACAAATCAGGTAATGGGCAGTAACGTATTCATAATAAAAAATAAAAAACTACAGTTGATAACCAGCCTACCAATCTAGGAAAGGGAGGTGTCTGATCAACATTCAGCTTTCGATAGGCTGTAAGGAATAATGAAATATTATAAAACTAGCTTTTTACCCGCGGCTTCGCTCGCGTGGGCTTCAATTTAGACACATCATTAATATCATTCCGTTGAGAGTTGAGAGTCGGACATGTCTTCCGAGGTGGCTTTATTAAAGGTAAATTGCGCTGGAATCAAAAATGCGCTATTAACATAATATTCATGATTACAGTTCATATAGTTTTGACAAAACAATAATGAATTTCATGTTTTTTATTAATACACGGCATAGGGTTTATTTGTGTTATTTGATTCAAATGATTGGCCCCATTAAATATTCATTAGCATCATTAAATACATGCCAGTATTTTAACTTCAAAATTTCATAATCATCATCATCATCATCATAACATCCCTTCATAAGTCCACTGCTTGGCATCCCCCAAGGAATGCCACAAAGCACGGTCCTGTGCGACCTGCATCCATCGACTTTCTGCCTGTGACCTGCTAGGTCGTCACTCCATCTAGTAGGAGCTTTTTTTATAGGATAGGGTGACAAACGAGTACACAGTCCACCTGATGATAAGTGGTTGTTGTGGCCAATATACATCTACATCTATCCTAGTTTGTGAATCAAAATGCAGATACGTTGCCACCCGTGAGGACTAAGATGGAATGCCTCGCTTCCAGTAAAAAGGGTATCCGGTTCTCTATACTCACCATATGAAACACAGCAGTGTTAAGCCGCTATTTTACGCTGGTATTCTGTGAGAGCGTGGTTCTTCTCCGGTCGAGCCGACCCATTCGTGCCACAACAATACTACTAATATAGCTACAGTATGGCTCTACCACGTTCAAAAGTCGTCCTAAACTTCGCATACCGGTTCGAGGATGCAACTCTAGAACCTTTTTTTCCCATCGGTCGTCGGTTCTTCGAGCTATATGGTCGGCCCATTGCCACTTCAGCTTACTAATTCGTTGGGCTATGTCGGTCACTCTGATTCTACTGAGGATATCCTCATTTCTAGGTTTATCACACAGAGAAACCCCAAGCATAGCCTTCTTCATAGCTTGCTTAGCGACTTTAAGCATTCTCATACTGCCAGCAGTAAAGAACCATGTATCAGATCCATAGGTCATCACTGGCAACACGCACTGGTTGTACAGTCGCGTTTTCAAGTTTTGACGTATACCTGGCGAGAAGATGTGCCGTAATTTTCCGAACGCTGCCGAGCCGAGTTGAATCTGTCGATTGACCTCTCGGTCAAAGTTGAACTTACCTTGTCGGTCTATTTGTCCCAGGTAAACATTCTCGTCAACAGCTTCGAGCTTAGTGCTACCAACAGTTACCGGTGCTTAGGTCCACCAGCGAGTCTGCTATAAGCACTATATCGTCGGGTTTAAATGTCTTCCAATGCAGCGGTGTAGAATTTCGGGGATATAACGTCACCCTGTTTCACACCTCTTTGCAGTTGAATAGGTTTCATAATCTGATTCTGTACTAGGATAGCCATCATAACCCTCCTGTACAAACACTTTGGCACTTCGTTATACCGACAGTCATATTGGCACTGCTGAAGGGACTGTAGCACTACCCGAATTTAGACGGAATCAGAAGCTTTCTCATAATCCACATACCCAAGGCAAAGTGGCTGATTGTACTCTTCTGTGTTCTGTACCATGTGCCGATGGATGGGTATGTAGTCTATGGTACTAAAGCCTTTTCGGAAACTGGCTTGTTCGGGAGGCTGGAATTCGTCGAGTCTGCAGGCGAGACGATTCGTAAGGACTCTTGAAAACAGTATGTAGACGTGGCTCAAAAGAGAAATCGGACTGTAGTTCTTAAAGAGAGCGTTGTCTATCTTGAAGAACAAGAGCACCACACTTCTGTTCCACGCCTCCGCAGTAGTCCCACCATGTAGGACGGAATTAAAGAGCCTCTGAAATATTTCAAGAACTGGTTTTCCACCCGCTTTCAGAAACTCCGCAGTAACTCCATCCACGCCCGGGGCGTTGCCATTTTTAAGGTGCTGGAGAGCCATTCTAATCTCGCACAGACTAACGGCAGGGATATCATCGGAATAGTATAGGATAATACTTGCTCTTGGATCGTTACTTACAC